GGATCCAGTCTGGATTTGATCCAATGTCTGGAAATTAAATCATGACAAAAATGTCTTTATTAATCAAAAAGTATAATATTACTAGAGAAGACATGTAGAAGTTTTTGGAAGTACTAAATAAGATCTCAGTGCTGGAAACTTTCCCACCTCCCTGGTATTTCACTTTCTTGAGGTTTCCACTCTCTTCCAAACTGCAGTGAAAGTAAGTGGTTTCTGCTGAAGCTGGCTTCATATCATTTTGCCACAGATACTGCGGTGATGAATACTTCTACTTACAACAATAATCACTGGTGGATTGAATGTCAGGAGGTTCCTTGTGCAGTGCAAGTCGTGCTCTTCTGCCACCTTTTCCATATCCCTTCCCCTCGCTTTCCTCCCTGTGAATACAGACATGTCAAGTCTCACTCATTGGGTGTGATACTCGCTCATTAGCATGCTGTCTCACTCACACACATTCCTAAGCTTATCTCACTCATTTTGAGTAAATATATAAAGATTTAAAATTACTCAGGCGCTGCAAGAGACAACAGTACATTCGGGGCCTCAGGCCCAGGGCTTCGAGCTTGGAAAGCTGCTTTCCAAGCTTGTGTACTGTGGTAACCATGGAGACTGCAGGCCGGCAGGCATTCTCTATGGGCGAGAGAGGAGGCGGCGTATGTGCGTGCAGTGGCGGATTAGCCACTGGGCCGATGGGGCCTGTGCCCAGAGGCCCTGGCCAACTGGGGGCCCCCCAGAAAAATGGACATGCCCCAATCTACTCCACTCGCCCAGCGCTCCTGCTGGGGAGCAGGGGAAGCCCCCATGCCCTGACCCCGGTCCCCAGCAAGATGCCCGGACGGGGGACTGCAGGCAGAAGGGGTAGGGAGGGGCCCCCACTTGCCCTGGCCCAGAGCCCCACAAGCCCCTAATCCGCCTGTGTGTGTATGTGGTCAAAAAAATCTGAGTTTGCCCAGAAAACAAACAGGACTGGATCAAAAGTTTGCTGGGTCTGCAAAATACAGTTCAAAATTAAAACCACACTGGACAAATTCATGTCTTCAGGGATCTCCAACCACCCAGGTTTTTGTTCCAACCAGCAAGTAATTGTTTTTATTAAAATCCATTGGTTTCCATTGTAGATAAAATTCTCCTGTGCCCTAGACCAGTTGTTCTCAACCTTTTTTCATTTGTGGATCCCTAAAAAATTTCAAATGGAGGTGCAGACCCCTTTGGAAATCTGTTGTTTGTATATATAGTTGAATTTTGTTCAGTCAGTTTTCAGTCTAAATCTTGTGGACCCCTTAGACATAATCCATGGACCCTCAGGGGGCTACGGACCATAGGTTGATAACCGCTGCCCTAGACTTTAGTATGAATTAGGCCATTTAAGTATTTCATGTGCAATATTTAGCAGTTTACATTTTAAAACAAACTATTAAGCGCTGGTTGGATTAAAAACCTGGACTATTGGATGTCGCCAAGGACCAAAGATGAGAGTCCCTGTCTTAAGCAGTGACGAAACGCGCCACCTGGAAAGTCTCACTCTTTGGCCTTGAATCTCACTCTTTGGGGCTGTAAATCTTACTCTTAAGGACAGCCAACCCTTGGCATCTCTGTTATATCTGCTTGATGACATGCCTGAACCACAGTGCCAAGTTGCTAAAGCCCTGAGGAGTCTCCATATCCTAGTGTCCCAGGAAACAGCATATCTCTCCAGACACATGACCCTCTGTTATTGTATAGTTATATGCAGATTTGCAGTTCCAGCAGCTGTCTGGTCTTGTAAAGGACACAGATGATTCTTGTGGTTTCCAAACAGGCATCTTGCACGCTGACTCTCATTTGCCTAAATTGCAATTTATTTTATTTATTTGCTATGCTATTCCTTTACAGAACAGGCTGCAAACCATTCCTTTCCATACTGTTGCAGGCTTTGTTTCATCTCTTCCAAAGTGAGACCTACCTGAGTAAGCAAATCAAGTGATCATTCTTTCTAATGTGCAGCTGTCGGTAAGCAGGCTCTTCATGGCTTTACAGATCCCCAGCAAAACTGTCATGCAAGGCTTCGGCCTGAAACCCATGTTCCTGTCATTTTCACTGAATTCATCATGTGCTCCAGAAATGTTGTTCCTTCTAGCGGATTTCACAAAGGTGTCATTTGCATTTGTGAAATAATTTAGGAGGAGGAACCCTTTCTGGGTGCAGCATTACATACTGCAACTGAAGTTTGTTCTTGTAGCCTAAGAGCCTCCTAAAATGTCAGGTAAATCCTTAATCGTTTTTCATTCTGGTTTTGGGGTGGCAGTTAAGTCTTTCAACACTCTGTGAGTTTCCCAAGCAGCAAAATTCAGTAGTGAAGAAATACTGCTGAAGGCAATCCACACAGGCCTGAAAACTCGCCTTTTGTTTTCTCTACAATAAAAGTCCTGCACTGCGCTAAGCACAGCCTAATTGGAAATCCTTTCTCCAGTCCTCCCTACGTCTCTTCTTTGTTGACAAACATTCCTCTTTTTATACTGAATAATCTGAAAGCAGCCATTGGATTTCGTTCAGTGTGTCTTAAAACACAGAAGAAAGGTTCCAAGGGGTAAGAGATCAAAGCTGCAGCCTTGCTGTAAGACAGCAGTCTTCTGTAGAAGCTCTCAAAGCTACTTTGTCACCAAGCAAATTAATTCAATACAAGTGCAAAATTGAACATGAGTTGTTGTATCAGGATATCTCTTACTCTTTCCAGTTAAACTGAAGAGCTGCACAGAAACTCAGTTGGACTCCTTTAGCCCACGTGCATACTTTGTGAAGGAAATTAACCCTGTAGTTAATGGACTAAAATATAGCACTGTTCAAAGGGTATATTTAACCTGTAACAACTAAAGCAGATACCCCTAGTAACTTCTAGTAAAATAACAATTAGAAGACAAAATAGTGGAATAACTATTAAGTGAAAACAAGACGTTTAAACTTCGAGAGCTCATGGAACGATGGGTTTACACTGTATAAACACTGCAAGGCAAACTTGATTGCTTTTTCTGGTCGATCTGCAAAACTAGAAGTTGAAGGAAATGCAGCAGATGTGTTGTACTTGGATTTTAGGAAAGCATTTGGTATATTTTCATAATTCAAATTGGCTATGATGCAAACACTGGCACATGTATTGATACTAACTGAAGGATTGTAAACACAGGACAAAGATAAACAGCAAAATGTGGAGTCAGGGTAAGGGCATTGGATTTCTAGTGAAGTATAGCAGAGAATTGTGTCAGCTTCATTCTTATTTAATATCTCCATAATTAATACAGAAGACAGTAAATGGCACATTAATTAAATTTGCAGATGATACTAAATTAGAAAGAGCTGGAGACACCAGATTTTAGGTGCAAGAGTGGAGAGCAAAGTGGACATAGATTGGCAGTGCAATGCAGCCTCAAAACAGGCCTGTTCAAATTTGGGCTGCAGACACAAAAATATCCATCAAAGAATATGGAGGTGCTAGTTTCTCTAAATAACTCTGGTGCAGTAGCACCTGGCTTACTGCAGTCAGATCTGGGCACCTCATTATCAGAGAGAGATGGGCAAATTAGGGAGTTCTGGGAGAAGCAAAAAAGATTAAGGAGCTGGAAAGATTATAAGGAAAGGTTAAACAGGGTCTGTGTATGGTATAGCTTGGCTAAGGGGAGAGTTAATACAAATATTTGATGAGCATTAGTATCATGATGTGGGAGAAAATTATTTAGAGTGTGTAAGGGGTTACAATGGGGAATAGTGGGAGCATAGGTAAGCTAACTAGTAGGGGAAATTTTTTGGCGGTGGAATCTAGAGGACCACAGAATACTCTCGCAGGGAAATAATGGAACTCCCGTTGTCTGGGACATTTAAAACTAAATGTGGCAAAACACTAGTAACTGCAGTAGGAAACTATGATTATCGGGGAGATGGACTTGATTACTTCATAGGTTATTTCTGTCTCTGACTTCTATGATGCTGCTTTCAAGAATATTGCATGTGTGTTTGTGTATCTATATAAGTTGTGTTATTTCTCAAGGGAAGACAAAGCATATTGTAACCAAACAGTCATTTGTAACTTTGGGGAGGATGAAATCCCAGCCAAGCAATGCCCAGGTCTCTTGCTATGTAGAGTATACTGTTTACAACTTAAAGGAGATAGCAGTGGGAACTGGAATGATGGTCTCATTAAAGAGGAAATATTTAAAACTTTGCATTTTGGTCAGGTTTATGTCTAACCAATTAGCCACCTGGCATAATGTCTACATTCCTTTTCTTTGGCAACCAAACACGTAAATGACTTCCCTTTGTACGCCTCACCTGGTGAGAAATGACTCCTCTTGGAATACTGGCAACAGGGCCTCAAGTGGAATAGTTGCAGAAGCTTGTATGGACCATTCCTAGCTGTGCAAAAACTAGTTGTCTAAACCATTCTGCCACAGAGGCCTAAATATTTAGCACTGGGGGGGGGGGGGTTATGTAACTAACATTGGCTAATTTAAACTGTCTTCTCAAAAATTGAATTTTTTTTTGTCTAATGAGAACTGACCTGGTGAAAAATGTACTGGCTAGAAGGTCAACACAGTTCAATTCAGGATAAGCTGTACATGGTAATTAGGGACTTATTACATAGTTAGCGCCCCGTATCCATATCAGCTATGCACAGCCTATTGCAGGGCAAAAGCCTTCTAGGCAATACTCCTGTCAAAATTATGGGCCCTGTTTGCAGCCCTTATTGTGAACAATGAGAATTTTACATGAGGAGTGATTGCGAAATAAGGCCCTCTCTCCATCAGTATAGATGTATGTGTGTGTGTTACATAGGCGTATGTATGTAACATCTATCTTTGCGCACATTCTCCTTTGTCACAGAGTTTACAGAATTAAGATACTGCATTATTATTGTTATCCCTATGCAAGTTGAACTGAGACAACTGAATTGGCTGGACTGTTTCTAAGCCTGCAGGATCTAATGAAATTTTGTCTTTCTTCTACCCATTTTTTTTCTTTTCTTTTTTCAGAATAAGTCGTCTGTTTAATGGCACAGAGCCTATTGTCTTGGACAGTTTAAAACAACATTATTTCATTGATCGAGATGGTGAAATTTTCAGATACATATTAAGTTTCCTAAGGACATCTAAACTGCTACTCCCAGATGACTTTAAGGTAAGTGAGGCCATGTCTACAATCCATTTTTTTCCCCATTCTGTCATTTATTTTGGTGTAGGTTTGTTTGTGTGTTTGACCTAAACACAGTTAACTATATGTTGATGTTTATTGTTAAAGTTTTTAGTAGTTGTGTATTACATTGGGGACGCTATGATTTAATAAATAGACCCATGGTTGTCATGGATACCATAAAAAGTTAAATGATGAAGCTCAAGGCTAAATCAGTTTTTCTAAACTAATTTTATTTTCTCACATTTTTAGCTTATTTATCAGGGCATAACAACAATTAAGAAGCAGCAGCAGCAAGAGCTGACATTTACCACAGTTTAATGTTCAGCACCTTAAAGAAATGTTTCATATTTGATAGTTATTGCAATTTGAGTTGTATAAAGTAAAATTGGTGATTTAAAAACCCCTCATAATCTTAAATAAACCCATGAGGATTTCTGTTAGACATAACTCGTTAAGACATTTTGCTTTCAAGGAGAGATCCCTAACACAGATTGTGAAAGATGAAGTGCTCTCAGGAGAATGCAATTTTTTGAAGGGATTCTATGGAGTAATATATTTTGACTGTTTGGTTGTAGATGATGACAACTTGGCTAATTCTCAATGGTTGAGTGGTGAGACTTAATCTCCTCCTAGGTGATTTATTTATATTTGGATTTACAAAAACGAATGCCTTGATATATCCAGGCATGTGTCCAAAAATTAAAAGACAACAGGATCCAAAAGGTAGTGCAGCAGGTCACTGACACCACAATTAAATAAGAATATATCCCCATTTGGAGTTGGCAGACATGCCTCTGGAAAGGGGAATGCTCCTAGATTTTCAATAAAATTTCAGCTTTCATGTATAATTAGATAGGGCACATAATTTGGTCATGATGGAGTCATTCCTCAGATGGGAATCATCACTAGTTTTGAATGGGGAGTATAACCATTCCCCCAACCTAAACCAAATCTCAGCCATTGCTGTGCAAATAAGGTATTTTTGTTTTTTATATAGCAAGAATAATCTTACATGGCCCCGGCTCCAAGGAAGTTACTGTCTAAATTGGCCAGACATCAGAGTGCAGACACATAATATATGATGAGAATGGAGACTGGAAGATCTGGTCTCAAAGCAGTGGCAAGGTTTGGCTGTCGTAGATTATTTGTTGAAGGGCTTTGCACAAGAAATGTGGTCTTCAGCACTCTGTATGCAGAGAAGGTTGTGCAAAAGAGGTGGATTGTCTGAGTGTAGAGAAGTGTGGAAAAGAGGGAGAAGACTATAAATGGAGTAGTTGGGGTGGAAGAGCAGAAAGGCTGACGGGGAAAATGAGAGAGGAGATGCAGATAGGAGTGGAATTGGGCCAGGACCATAAAGCTAAGGGCTGCAAGCACTTTGTGGATGATGAGAAGGAGCCAGTGAAGGGATCTGAGTAGAAAAGGGTCATAGTACAAATGGCAGGAGAGAGAGATGATTTTAGCAGCATATTTTGGAAAGAGTGGTGGGAGCCAGCCAAGGAGAACTGGGAGGAGGAGCCTGCAGTAACTGGGAGAGAGGATCAAGGCATTGTCAAGGGTTTGGGAGGATGGATTTTAGAGATGCTGTACAACAAGAACCAAGGGGATGTGAGAATGTGTATCCTCAAAGTGTATGCCAGCCTCAAAGAGGCTATGGCAAGGCTGGAATTAGAACTCAGGCGTTCCTAGCCCCAAAGACCATGCTCAGTCCACTGTTCCATGCTGCCTTCTTGGATGGGGTTAATTGTATTTTTAATTTATTCCTCCCTGAGATAGCTCTAGAGTAGACCCCAGGGTAATGAAGGCTCAGAAAAGCAAAGTGTTGTTAGGTAAGGAGTAACTCAACAAAAAATGCAAAGAAGAATGCATTGCAAAGCTATGCACTGTAAAACTGCACTGTAAACAGTTTTGACTTCGGAGAAATCTTGTAATTTTGCCAGTGTGATTAAAGTAATAGAAGAAAACAATCAAAGGCTGCAAATGGAATCTTTTGGTGTTTCTAAATGCAAAACATTATTTAAGGTATAAAACCTTACAGGTTTTCCAGTGAGACTTGCATTAAATGTTTTTTATGTCAAACAAAGCATTATCAAGTGTTTTGAATATTTATTAGTTTTTTTACCCCTTTAATTTAATCAAGTCGTTTAGTAGCCTCAAGGTTAAGCCAAGTTGCTTTTCAACTTGAATTGCTACTCAGATTGTTATTTTGGAAAATTTGGAATGTTAGTACCGCACCAGTGTTTTTGTGTTTTCTATTTAAGTGTTGTTTTCAGACGAAGTTAACACTGAAATGCAGAGAAAGTGGAGTATGTGTTCCTAGGCTAGTGATTCTTTATTGTCAAGTCTGACTGGTGTGTTTACGGTGAATATTAACTACAGTTCCAATTACTAATAAGGCAAGACTTGAAAGTATTCTGCATCTTACAGGTCTCCCTCCTGAGACCAACATTCCTAACAGATTATACAGTGTTCATGGTTTTGTGGATTCTAAGCAGTGTACAAAGTGATGCTTTAGACATTTTGAAATTATTATTAATTGCTGGGCTTGATTTTCCCTTGCATCCAAGCTCTGCTTAGCAAAGGGGATGGAGGGCAGGCAGGGAACTGGTTAAAGATCCCTGATTCTGCACCAGCGCAGCCTCAGGGAGTCAGAGCTGCTAGGGGCTGCTCTCACTTAAGCCACTGGCCTAAGGTCCATAATGCTATGTCTACACTGCAATTGAAAACCTGCAGCTGGTGCGTGCCAGCTGATTCAGGCTCGCAGGGCTTGGGCTAAGGGGACGCTTAATTGCAGTATAGATGTTTGGATTCAGGCTGGCACATGGGCTCTAAGGCCCTGTGAGGTGGAAAGGTCCCAGAGCTTGAGCCTGAATGTCTACACTGCAGTTAAACAGCCTCTTAGCCTGAGCCCCACAAGCCTGAGTCAGCTGGCACAGGCCAGCAGTGGGTTTTTAATTGCAGTGTAGACATACCTCCTCTGGTATGCTCTCTATGTCAGGGAGGAGTGGCTGGATTTATGCCACCAGAAGGATCCCCTCCTCCAGGGGAATTTTCTCCTGGCCAGTTGCAACCAGAATTTAGCCCCTTTGTACTGCTCAGGGCCTGTTATTTATACTCCAAGCCCCCAACCAGAAATGGGGCCCATTGTGCCAGGGACTGTACATAACCCTTCTGCGTGTATGTCCTGCCCAAAGAACTTACTCTCTGAATAGACAAGACCAGCAAAGTGTGGGGAGAGGAGGAAGTGTTCTTGTTTCTATTGAACAGGAGGAGCAGAGGCACAAAAAGCTAAAGATGTACCCAGGAACTCTGGGGTAGAGCCTAGAATGGAACCCAGATTGCCTGGAAGCAAGGGTGGCACTGTTACCACAAGGCCAACCTTCCCTTTGCCTTGATAGAGCCTTAAAATTAGTGTGGCCAAGTCTAAACGTTGTTTGATATCAACTTAACCTTAATTAATTACCCATGCTAGCAATATGCAGTTGAGCATGGAACTGGGAGGGAACTCATTCAGTGACCAGAGATTCATCGTGCTGCCAGTGGAGCCGAAAACGGTTGAGGACAGAAGGCAGTAGGCTACCCCCCTCCAAACAAACACAAGCAAATACAGTCCCCAGGGACATCGCCATTTCAGACTGTGCAGAAGAACAGGTGATACAAAAATAAAGATCATCCCTAGCCAGCCGTAAGGGAAGCAAATCAGGCCCTTAGAAGTGTCTTACAGTCTCTGGCAGCCAGCTCTTTACTCACCGTGAATAGAGATTTATTCCACGAGTAATCCCACTGACTCACTGGGGGTAGAACCGAGCCGTGAATTCCCCACCCCCAGTGAGATATAACCGTCAAATCGAAGAGGTGACCATGACCTTTAGCAAACGTGAAATCTGCAACAGATTATCCAGAACACTTTTCTACTAGATCACGAGCAGAAAGATAAAGTGTTTTGTAGAAAGGCGGACCGCTGTCTGTTAAGAAGACTTGTCAATCATTCTCTCCAGCTCTAAACATTGTCCTGGGTACCAAGGAATGGCCAGTGTGTGTGCGTGGCCCACTGTTCATAGGTTCCCTGTTTCAACTGATCTAACAGACTGTATCATCACTTGGTAGAAACAAAGGTAAGGAGCTGTGATTCCAGAGGGGATTGATACAGCAGACCTACCAATAACCAGCCAGGACTGAGAGGTCTGAAGCTGCAGTTCCCTGAAAGAGAGGAAAATCACACGCACACAAACACACTTGCTGAACGGCCCCTTATATTGTTTCTCATCAGCCCCCCGCCCAGAACTGTGAGATGGCGGAGTTTTCTCACAAACCTTCCAGTAGTGGGAGCCAAAACAGCCCTCCTTCTCTGCCGAGGCCATCATCAGTGTCCCTCAGAGTAGCAGCTGATAGGAGGCATGCTCACAGTGGTTTCGTTCAGCACCAGGGCCGGATTTAGGGGCAGGCGGTTGTTGTTAGCGACAAAAGGGAAAATAGAATGTTTGAAGTTATATGTTCTAAGTATTCCATATGTGGATTCATTTTTCACTAACATCCTAGAATGTTCTGGACCTTTGTAGAATCTCATGGAATCTTCCAGACTTTCTGAGAAAGACATTTTCCTTGAACCTCCTAGAACATTGTCAGCCATGCCCTTGCAGGTATATAAGAGGGAGGGCATTGCCAGTCAGTTGTATATGACAGGGATAAATCATGCATGCAAATTCTGCATTGAAGTCGTGAAATGGGCTACAAATAGAATAAAAAATATAAGATATTCATTTAACGAATGGAGGGGGGCACCAGTTGGTCTAGGGCCGGCCCTGTTGAGCACATTTCCTCTGTCTTCAGACATTAAGGGCCATATATGACCAAAAGCATAGTGCTGGAGTCAGGGCTGTGCACTGGGTATCACAGGAAGATGGAGAGATGGAAATCCTCTCTGGCGGGGCCTGGAGACGATGTTAGACAATATGGTCAATCACCCTGTCCCTTTCTCAGGGAGGACAAAATCCACATTGTGGGCCCATGGGAGGGTGGTGGGGGCAGAAAGGACTTTAGATCTGATTTCTGTGCAGGGACTGTGTTTGGAACCCTGCCCTGCTGCCCAGCAGGACCTCACTGGTTCTACTGCCAGAGCCTCCCTGGAGGTGGGCAGCAGATTTGTTCCTAAGAGCATACACTGCCCTTTGCTTAGCAACAAGATAAATTTGCAGCAGCCTGTGGTCTCTTCTGAGCCTGGGTTTCTGTGTGGCAGTTGAGCCTGTGCCATTATGGTAGCCAAAAATAATAATAATAATAACTTTAGCTAGTGTTGTTTGTGTAGAATGCTCCTGCTTTTGGGTGTGCCTCAGACTAGATTCATATATTCTAAGGCCAGAAGGGATTTTTGTGATAATCTAGTCTGACCTCCTGTATAACACAAGCCATAGAAGTGCCCCCAAATAATTGCTAGAAATAACCCTTTAGAAAAACATCCACTCTTGATTTACAACTTGTCAGCAATGGAGAGTCCACCAGTTAGTGAGTTGGTCCAATAGCTAATTACCCTCACTGTTAAAAATTGACACCTTATTTCCAGTCTGATACAAATACACATTTATGAATGATGGGGCTCCTTTAACAATTTCCTGCTTATCTCGTGATATGGTGACTGGCAAGATAAACTGAGATTTTTCTTGTAATCTCTGTGGGACTTCACTGTTGGGTGTTGTACTAATGCAGTCTGGGCCAGCTTCTCCCCCATCTTGCACTGTGTGTCAACGGCTGTCCCTAGACAAGCGCAGCTCTGAAGAGTAGCATTTTACAGCCACTTTGCAAAGGTAAATGACTTCACGGGTGCCAGACAGTGAAGAATCAGGTCTTGGTGCCTGCAATTGTGAATTTCTTTGTTGACAGTCCCTTCCTCCACCCCATCAATCCCCCAAAATTATTAAAATTCCTTAGTGATGGTAAGTTGACCAGAAAATTTGCCGACCACAGACATGGTATCAAGTATTAAACAGTCGCCAGGTTTTAAGTTACAGGAGCGAGACCAAATGCAAAATCTATATTTGTTCCAGTTTTTGGACCAGCGCATGCTGGTGATGAATAGGTGAAGCAGTATGAAGCAGAAACTTGCATTGCTGCTGTGGTGTGAATTAATAGAGGACTTCACTCTCATGCGCTGTCAGTCATTAAATTCTCAGTTTAAAAATATGACTTTTATTGAACTTATCTTTTTTGCAAAATGACAGGCAAAAACACTCCCTTCGCTGCCACTTACGGAATCCGAGGCAGATAAATGGTGCCATGTAATATTCCAGTCTGAGTTGGTAGTTGAGGGAGGAAATGATTTCCTGTTTTTGTTGTTGTTGTTGCTTTTAAAAAATTTTGAATTGGTGCAAAAAACAGAAAGTTGAAACTGGTGTGTGCGCACATGTGTATGTGTGTGTGTATGCGCACTTTTATAAATCAAACTAACTTTTGTTTTTAACAGCTCAGGTTGTGTGTGCAATTTGTAGTGTGGGCTGATCACTGTGGGTACAAAAATGAAGGAGTTATTTGAGTCTGAACACTGGTTCCTGGCTTAACACAACTTTTCTTTTTTTTTTTTTGGCTGATCACAGAAAACTGGAGGATTGAAACTATATCTTGTTTTTTTTGTCTTTATTAAGCAGCAAATAGTTAGAACAAATGGTGAGTTAGCAAGTGGTTACTAAAGACTTAAATATAATGCCATGGGCTAACAGATGGCTCTAGGAGGAGATAGCATGATCCCAGAGTTTGTTTGCTCTGTAATGTTACTATATCCCTGGAGGTTGGAGCTGGGGACTGTTGCACTTCTGGATATTATGGGCCTGATCCAAAATCTGTAGCTGTGGAAAGACTCCCATTCAATTCAGTGAGCTTTGTATCGGCCTTAGCTGAGTGAGAGACCTACATTCGCTTTAAGAATGAAGGAGAGACTTACACAGTTCTATAGCCTTGCTGTTTTTGATAATGAAGCTCATGTTGGGTTTTCATCTTTTGGATGTTATTACAGGCTAACATGCAAACATAAACCCCTGCTTTGCCCTCATAAATAGTATATTCTTTCATGATGAACATGTGCAAAAATAAACCTAGAGCTAGATTCAGGAGCAATTGAAGTAAATGGGAGACCAGGGCCCTGTGTACATATGTGAAATACTTGCATTGGCCTCGCGGACAGAGCTGTTACAAGCTCCCATGTGAACAAGACTTCAGATGTTTTACATGCAGATTATTAGTCCCTGTAGATTTAGCCTAATCCCTTGTGCATTTTAATTTAATGTTCAGGGAATTCTGCAAATGTGGAGGGAGAAATGAGAATGGCTCTGAAATGGGTATTTGCTTCTGAATAAAATAATTCATCATCCAGGTTCATTTCAGGAATGTATCACAATGGAATGGAGTCCAAGCAGTGATGCATAATAAGGATTACAGTGTATGGAAGTAAGGCTCTTACTTTACCCCAGATCAGGTCATCCTCTACTGCTCCTACCATATACCCATGCATGAATCTGATGTTCTTTGAAGCACTTCTTGGCTAACACTGATGTGGTGCCATGTCTGCCAGCGCACATCTCCTTTTTCTTTAGTCTCCCTTAGGATCCATTCCCGCAAGGTGATGAACATCTTCAACTGCCATGGAGGATGCTGGGGACTGGAGTGATTCAGTCCCTAGGAGGAGGCCCCCTCAGCACTTTGAAGGCTCACTGCTTTGCATAGGAACTGTGATGGTTCCATTCACTTCAGTTTTCTGCCCCGATAGTGGCCTCTGCCTGATGCTATGAAAGAAGGAAAAGCAAACTCACCCCCACAATTCATTTAGCATGCTCCCCAACCCCAGCAAGCTTCTGCCAGAAGCCAGGGATTGGAGATACACTAGCACACTTAGGAGATTACAAGGGTAACTGTTAAGTTGCCTATCCATATATCTGTAGGCCTCCATCAAAGGCAGCTGCGTTGCAGTTCCAAATTTGGCCCTAACAGTCAAATCTTTTATGGACATTGCTAAACTCTTTGCTTCAGTGATACCTTGGGGAAGTGGATTGTACAGGTGGATTACATGCTGTTACAAAGTAGCATCTTGTGTTCCTTGTACATTTGCTGGCTTTTGATTCTACCATTAGTTCCTTTTATCCTGTGTTACGGATCCATGGAAGGCACCAAATGTACTAATTTTTGTTGTATATCCCTTTATTTTGCATCCTCAAATTCTTCTCCTTTCTAGCCCAGTAGTTTCAGTCTCATGATTATTCATACCCCTCCCATGCTTCTAGGCAGAGAGTATTTTCTGGTGGTCAGAGCAAAGGACTCCAGGGTTCTATTTCCATATGTTGGCTGACTGTAGGCTGAAGAAGCCATTTATCCACCGTTCTGCAGCATATCCATTTGAAAACGTGTATAATACTTACATGGGGCTGTTCTGAGGGTTAGTTAATGATGATTCTTCACATGAAAGGTGCTAAAGTCCAAGAGTTGTTTATTATTATTTTTGTCACCCTCTCTCAATCTTTTCTGTTTTTCCCTTTCCAAACTGAATGTAGAATTTGAGATGGGGATGCACAAGCCCCACCCCTCGCTGACTCCCAGAACTGTCTTATGCTCTGGGGAGGGATTCTGGCTGGCATCTGAAGCGATGTTGGCACCCCTGCTTGCCCAGGGATTGGGGGCTGCCTTTCCCTCAGCACGCACTGGTGCCCTTAGTCTGGGATGGAGAAAGCCGTCGGAAATGTTTGCTGAAAAGAAGTTAGTGAGCACGTGCCGAAATCACCTCTCTCAATTAACTGAGCTGTTTTAATGACCCAAGGGAACAAATCATATGATGGACAAATGGCTGGTAAAAAGTATTTGTTTAAAAGATGGCGAAGTGACCAGAGTACACATGAGCTTGCAGCCACGCATGTGCTTATTGCATTATTGGAACTTACCAGGTCCCAAACTACGTTTTAAACATATTTTTGTATTTTTAAGAAAATGGCTGCTGGGCCATTTCCTTGTTATGCTGCAGATTTAGCCTGCAGGGAGTTTTCACAGCTGAGTTTAAAACCACTAAAACTGAGAGTTTAAAATGAAAACCTGGCAGGCTTATCTCTCCATGGTAGCACTTGTATGAGCTGCAACAACAAAGTTTAATACGTATCATTTCAGGAGTTGTGCAAAGAGTAAAGAATAAGGCTCTGTCTCTCTCCTCTGACATCAGCAGGCCTTGCTTATTGCAACCAGTTATTTTGATTGCTTAATCCAAAAGAAAAGCCTTTTGACATTGAGCTTGTGGGATAATAAACATGAAAGAATGATTCAGAGCAATGGGAAGTTCACAGTCTGTTCAAGACGATTTAAAACTCTAATACAGTATGGCTTCCTTTGTAGGTATTACGTAGTAAAAGAGTAAGACAGTTTGGATACCTGTTGACTTTACGCTATTGCTGACAATATATAAGCCTAAGTAGGTCACAGGGGAACAATATTCATTTTACAAAGAGAACCGTAAGCATTTCTTCTGTCTCCTCTTTTTTTCTTTTTATAGGACTTTAATCTTTTATATGAAGAAGCAAAGTATTACCAGCTGCAGCCAATGATTAAGGAACTTGAGCGATGGAAACAAGAGAAAGAACAAAGGAAACATTTCCAGCCTTGCGATTGCCTGGTCGTAAGAGTGACTCCAGATCTCGGGGAAAGGATTGCACTGAGTGGGGAGAAAGCTTTAATAGAAGAGATCTTCCCTGAGACTGGGGATGTCATGTGCAACTCTGTAAATGCAGGTTGGAACCAAGACCCAACCCATGTTATTAGGTTTCCTTTGAATGGATACTGCCGGTTGAATTCAGTGCAGGTAATGGCCTTTCAAGCAATGCTGTCTCATGTTGTAACTTTTTTTATTTCATGTTCAGTTATATGCAGATTATTTGCTTCTGCTCAATTACCTATTTTTTTGCCCAGTGAGATCACAGTCTTTCAGGTTTTCCTAAATCTAAGCAGAAAAATAGATTTAGATTTTGTGTATGTTAGTGCCATGCTGGTCTCATAATAGTGTTATACTGATAAATGCTAATTTTTTCATCAATGTATAGCCCACAGCATTTTTTCCCTCCAAAGTGCCCCTGGGAAGAAAGAGAGAGTTCCAAAAACTACAAAAAAAAAATCTCCATGCCATTTTATAGAAAATGCAACAATGTGTAAATGCATAATTTATGTCTCACTCATAATTAAATGATGGTGCCTGCGGGATGGACTTAAAAAAATTGATCTCTGCACTTTTTTTTTCCAAAAGGATGTTCTTTAAAAATTGCCCAGAGTATTTTAAACAAAATGTATTTCATTTTCTACTCAGAGTTTTGACATTAGGATTAAAATTAAATATATGAAACAAAGAATGATAACTGGACTGATAGGTGGATGGAAGTGGGAATAAATACGTTGCTGGTCTTTAGGCAGTTGTCTTGGGGGCTGCAACTGATCCGTCATAGGGAATGACACATACAACTGTGGGCAAAGCTGCAGAAGTTTGTAGTAGTCCTTGTGCCGAGTGGAAAGAACAGTGCTGATCATGCTGTTAACACAGACATTAATTAGTCAAGGCAAAATAAAGTTCTCTTATTTTGGATTTATATCTTTAAAATATTTTGCAAGGAGGATGTCTGTCTTCGGTGATTTTTATTATGAGAAATGAAGCCTTCAACCTCTGGGTGATCGGTTCCAAAGTTATTAACATCTATAGCTGTTCTGTTAGCGGGACTGTGGGAAAGACTCTGAGGTCTGGGGCCATTTCCTAGTGGACATTCACAAAACACCTGGTACTCTAAGCAATGTGATGAGAAAGGCCAGGGAGGAATGGGCATCCAGACTTTACAGAGCTCTAGCCTAGCCTCCTCGAGGTGGGCCCTTCACATGAGAGGAGTGGGATATAAGCGGGGCAGCGGAAAAGTTTGCACTGCCACCACTGAACCTGGTCTGTGACTAAACCAGGCTAACAATCCACAACATTTTCTGAGCACTAAATATGCTGAAAACATTCCGACATGTAATAACGTATGCAGATTTGCTTTAATGATCTGTATTTTACATCAGTACGTTTCCTCTTTAATTAAAGTTACTATAACAACATTCCTTGATGCGTTCTGCATTAAACCTGTCTGAAAAACAAATCTGTTGGCAAATTTTGGTTTCACACTAAACACTCCCAAATGTTTCATTCAGCTCAGCTGATGAACTCAGTGCCCTTGGCTAGTTTTGCACAGGTGCAAGTCCGTTTTCTGTCTGAGTGAGGTTTAAACTGGGTTGGGTCACATTCTGACCAAACAAAATGGAGTCCCCAGAGGTGGGTCAAAGGCAGGGCCATTTGCTGGTGACATAGCATTTTAACAAGTTTTCTGCATCACTGGGGAAGGGAGTATCTGCAGTCTAGAATACCCCCTAGATAGGTTGCGTGAGTCAGTTTAAAGGTGTTAGTGAAACCCTTTTAGTGCACCTGGTGTATGTGCCATGGTTAGGTGCATTAAAGAAACTGAACAATAAAACAATGAAGGGTCATGACAAACCCAAGAGTGCACTGTAAGCACAAACACTTGGGAGAGGTCTGAAGGCATTTGTTTTGGTAGGCTAGTTGCGGAGAGTGGTGGCACATAGAAAAGCAAAAAGTAACTTGATCATACCGCATGTTCTTTAATGGGACGCTTGTTTTCAGTATTAGTTCATTCCAGTACCCCACATTCCTGGTTGACCTATAGCATTTATTATTGCAACTTGTACAAATTCTTTCATGAAATGATGTTTCATATCAAGGACTCATATGAAACTGTACATGTAAAACAAATAATGTCAACATGTTAGTGGATTATGGCCAAAAATAATAGCAGCCCTCAATTTAAAATTCCCATTTGTATCTGCATTTAGAATATAAAGTTTTTTCCTATAATTTAAGTTATTTTTTTAATCTTCTGACAACAGGACTTAGTGAAATATATGAATATACTTCAGAGAAAATGCTGTGAAAATTGTGTATGTTGAACATTTCAGTACTTTATAATTAAGACCATATTTGTTAATATCACTCTGCAAAATTTAAATGAAATGCATTAAGGTATCATATTTCTGTTTGGAGACCTTCCCAACAAAATAATAGCTCATGTCTCTGCATGTTTAGAGTGCCTGGCAGAGAGACGATATTAAATCCTAACGTAATTGCACTATTTCATATTGATTATGGGAAATCACAGCTGAGATTCATTTACTTTTTGGCATACTGTCTTTGGAGACTTAAAGGAAAGTAGCTCAGATTTTATTCTATAGATATGTTCATATATTTGCCATCTTACTTTTTAAAGCAGTATAACATATACTTAGGGCCAAGTTTGCAAAATATGGTTTCCACTTATCCACGTGCAAGAGCACTCTCAGCCTCCTGTGTGCACTAGGAACTGCATGCACGCACAGATATTGTAGACATGCAGTGGAGGTAGCATTCTGTAGAGTTTGCTCGTAGCATTAAGTATAACCTAATGCAAGATGCAGTTAAAATAGTACAATATTTAAACATCGCAGCATTGTTACAGGATTTGACCCATTTTGCTTCTTGCTCAGAAAATTGATGATACGTGCATTTTTAACACAAGGCTACAGCCTGCAGTCTCGTCCTCCAAGCACACAGGTAGCACAAATGTTATGACTTTGTCCTATGTGCAGTATTTTAAAGCTGTAATGTCTGTCTGGTTTGTGTGTTTTTATATAGCTGGCTCAGTAAAGAAGAGCCTTATGCTAACATGCAGCTTGCCATACCTATGGACTAAGCCAACAGCATCTCAGCACTAGTTTTGTATTATAAGCAAATTGATTTTTTTAAAAATTTTGTAGTAAAGATATTGACATCCATGCCAACACTGAGCTTTGACCTATTGAGCGCACCTCTCTCATTCCAGTTAAATGGAGACCCCCTATGTCATGCAGCACCTGCTGTAAGGGTGGACTGATTCTTGTCTCCACCTTGCCTAGGCTAAGTCTATTAAAAAATAAATCTCAGCCTGTGGCTTCCCCTACAACTCCTTGATACCTTGATCAGCGCTCCTGATCAAGTTACTGGCATCTCACTTCTGTCTTAGAAGGGGCAATGCTGACAAAATAGTACAATGCCCGGCGTTCCCTTCTTGCCCCTAGTCTGCTTGTATCCCAGCTCCCACCTCTCTTCATTTTTGAACAAAGAGGGAGGACTCTCATTTTTTTATTATACTTTTACCCCAAATTCTCCCTCTTTCCTTTGACTTCTTGTCTGTTGTTTTCTTTTCAATTGCTGGGGTAGCTTTTCCTCCCTTCAGTTGTAATGGTTTCTTACATACATAAACTCTGTAAAAATCAGGGCAAAAGTCAGTGAGATTTGGCAGATGTAACTTTATTAGAACACAAATCACTTTGTTCCAGGGCCAGGCGGAGCTCCCAGGGCAAACTGATTCAGAGCAGACTCCATGACTCAGGCAATGCTGTGCTAGAATGAGTGTTTCCTTTTCTTTGCCAGTCTTCAGAAGCTAGGCTAGTGAGCACAAGGCTTTCGTTGCCTTCCAAAAACTCAACTATTTGAACTGCTGGTGGCTAATACTAGAGGCCTCAAAGGAAGGCCTACAGATGAACTAGCAGGGATATACTTCACTGAGTTCACATCATTGGCCAGTCAGATTCAGTGTTCTGCCTCTGGAGAAAGCAAGCAAAAGAAGCAACATCCTCAAGAATGCCCCTCGTTATTAGCATGGTTATGTGCGTGGGGGCCAGGGCAGAAGTCTGGCATGAGATTCCTTTTTATTCCCCTTTTTAGCGATCACTTCATGCCTTAAAGTACTCATCTGGAGTACTGTGTCCAGTTTTGGGCCCCACACTTCAAGAAGGATGTGGATAAATTGGAGAGAGTCCAGCGAAGGGCAACAAAAATGATTAGGGGTCTGGAACACATGAGTTATGAGGAGAGGCTGAGGGAGCTGGGATTGTTTAGCCTGCAGAAGAGAAGAATGAGGGGGATTTGATAGCTGCTTTCAACTACCTGAAAGGGGGTTCCAAAGAGGATGGCTCTAGACTGTTCTCAATGGTAGCAGATGACAGAACGAGGAGTAATGGTCTCAAGTTGCAGTGGGGGAGGTTTAGATTGGATATTAGGAAAAACTTTTTCACTAAGAGGGTGGTGAAACACTGGAATGCGTTACCTAGGGAGGTGGTAGAATCTCCTTCCTTAGAGGTTTTTAAGGTCAGGCTTGACAAATCCCTAGCTGGGATGATTTAACTGGGAATTGGTCCTGCTTTGAGCAGGGGGTTGGACTAGATGACCTTCTGGGGTCCCTTCCAACCCTGATATTCTATGATTCTATGAAAGCATGAGATTTGATGGCACTTGTAGTATGCAAGCAAAAAAAAAAATCCATCTAATATTGTCATTCATTACAAAGTTTAAAAAGAAATGGTTTCTCTTCTGTAGTGTAGATCCTATACAAACACAGTATGGGTTTTCTCCTCACCCAATATTATGTACTAACGTTATGCTAATTGCGTTGTTGGACAAAGTATCTAGTCAACTGAACAATTTTTAAAATAAGGCAACAACATGGCCCGACAGTCCTCCTGGTAAATTATTCAATAGATCATGCCAGGACTTAGCTTTAACTAGCTAAATAATCAAGCTCAGTTTTTACTGCTGTGGACCCAAATGTCCTGGTTCTCTGACAAGATGATTTATATGATACCTATATTATGAGAGAGATGTACTCTAAGAATAGTACAATCTGCGCACCCTTGGTGACATTTATAGGTAGCAAAATAGGTAGGAACAGTGTTTCTTGTCTGAAAAGTAAGTATTGTGTCAGTTCATTTTAAACAAACTAAAGACACTATCCTTTCCAAGTTCTATGCTAACATTAGCATTTCCTCTGTGGGTCATTTCTATGGCTCTTTGGCTGCATAGTACTTGGCCTAAAGAATATTCATAGTGTAGCACTGCAAAGGTTTGGCTGGAAGAGTATTTGGATGCAGATTTCAAATATGGGTGTGCGGATTTCTTTTGCACTGTTATTCAGGAAATCTTACTGTGCACAGTGGGCTAAGTTATTCTTCCATTTACGCCCATGTTTCCCCCCTGAACTCAGTGGGGTATAGCAGAGGACAGAATCTTGTTCTGCTCAGACAATGGCAGTACAAAGGCATTGCCTGGCCTATTTGGGAGACGCATGAGGAAACTGCCTTAAGTCCATTCTTCCCATACTGATATGTCATTGCTGATGCCTAAACAACTGCTGCTAAAGCACACTCTAGGCCTGTATGAAAAAGAGCGTTCACTGGATGTTCCTATTTCAAGTAGTATTAATCAATCTCCAGCCCTCTGAGCTGTACTTCAGCAGGAAAAGAACAGTGAAGGCGCCCTATGGCACTGGAGTGTGAACAATAAAAGTAAACGACAGGAGTGTGGCAGATGATTCTGTGCAATGTTACTGCTCTTGAAACCATGAATGGGATGGGGAGGCCAGAGTCAGGTGGACAGTTGAGCCCCCACCCAGAGCAAGTGAGTGAGGTTCTCTTTGATTGGTTTCAAACCCATGGCTGTTGAAGAAAAGCACATGAAACTAGCGTCCAAGCATACCTGCTGCTGAAAAGCCTGTGTGCTCACCTAATATGTTGGGGAAATAGTTCATCAGCAGTTCATCCATGTGAAAACATAACCCCTGTCATCCAGCCAAGGGTGATCTGCAGTGTAAGTGCCCGTCATGCAAATTAAAGCTGCCTCTGGGCTGCTTTAACTCATGCATCCAAATTACCCCAAGTTTTCTTTTAAAAAAAAAAATACGTGGAGAATACGATTAACCTGTTTGTTTGGGCCAGTTTGTTTTCTTATCCACCTGTCTCTGGCCTCCCCATCCCATTCATGGTTTCTGAAAGCAGCACTAAATTCTAGGAAGAGGAGAAGGAGTCTGTGTGATTGATGTTAGAGAGCCTTGGGAGGTGTCACTCAAAAGATACCATGATTCTTATTTGAGCTCGGGAAGGGCTCAAAATCTTTGCAGCCCTTTTTCCTTGACACTTTCCATATTAATAATGAATTATGGGCACTTGTTATTATGGCTTAAACCTAGTGCTATTTTCCTGTAAGAGAGAGCATCAATATTACTGCAGTCCAGTATTTTACTATATAATGTACTGAACTGCTCTGTTGAGTGCTTATTTGTTTGATTAATTTTTGTTTTCGACCAAGGTTTGCTTTAAGCGAGACTTTAATCACAGTGTAGTCATTTAAGAATAAGTTATAAAATTATAGCTGTATAATATTCATTCTATGAGATCTGGAATGACCAAATGCATCATTCAGATACACTGCTCCAGGATGCTTTTATCACATTCCCTAATACCTAAAATTGACTAAAATTAATCTGCACTCTTTTTCACATTGCAGGTGCTAGAAAGATTGTTTCAGAAGGGATTTAACGTGGCAGCTTCATGTGGTGGAGGGGTAGATTCCTCCCAGTTCAGTGAATATGTGCTGTGCCGTGAGGACAGAAGACCACAACCCACCCCAACAATCAGAATAAAGCAAGAACCCCTGGACTAGAACCAACCCTTCCTCCTTTGTAACCATAGAAGTGTTTAATAGTCCCTTATGTGAAACACTAAGGATTTGCAAAACAGTATTAGCAAACAAATTGTGATTTTATGTTGCCAATTAGTGATATTCGAAAACTACCTGTCACATAGCCAGCCATGAAACACATTTGAAAAACCCACCTGTTTGTTTTTCATGATGAACAACTGAGCATGCTCAGCGTACAAGGCTTTGTGGGAATGTACTTTCAACCGAACAGCTGTGATGTTGAAAAAGGCAAAGCTTCACAAAGTACTGACCCTTGATTGGGCTTCTGCAGAAAGACCAATTAAAGCAATTTGAATATGTCAGCTGGAAAACAACAGTTCTTTTGACAGCACCCCTTCCCGCCTCAGTGATATTCTAAGGCAACGAAACAGGGTCCACCAAAAGAAAGATGGTACCTTAAACACTGCACTGAGTATCTTCCCTGTCTGAATGCCACACTTCTCTCATATCAGATGTGCTTTACACCTCCATACGTTATGTTACATTTCTGTGATTGTAACTCATTTGTGCTAGCAAATGGCTTATTTTTATAAAACTTTACAACTGAAATAACTCTGCGTACAGAATATAAAAACAGAGAAGGACCAATTCATAGTCATCTGGTGCTCAGTACTTTAAGCACAATTGAGGACTAGTTGTTGGTAATATGTGCAAAAGTAGGGATTTTTTAGTAAGGCCATGTGACATCAAAAGGGCATAGCACAGGCCCCAAAAGTGGAGTTATAGTTCTTTTGAGATGCCAATTTTGTTTTCTTCTTTCTCGCAGAGTTTCAGTGTTTTGCATCATCAGTGGAGTGGTGGTTCTGCCAAGCATTTGCCAAAGCATCTGCCATTACCCTTTGTTATTCGTTTACTGAACATACTTAAAACCCACGTACAGGAGCAGGAGTTAACCATTTTGGACACCCCTTATTCTCCGTGGCCCTGGAATTTTTACAAACGATAATAAAGCCCCATACTTCTCTCTGTCTGACAGGAGCAGGCCAGGTTTTGTTTAGATATTTTTCATTCTATTAATTTTGAACTACCATTAAAATACTGATTTTATAGCTGCCCTGTATCTGTGTATTTTTCGCTTTAAAGAAGCCATTTGTCTGTAAGCGGTTATTGTTCCTTTAACAAATACAGTATCAATTCTTCTGACTTATGCAGTTTCCTTAACACAGGAGATAGCATTGTGTTTGCAGGTGCAAGTATATAAATAGCATTCTGCTAAATCCTGTTTACTGCTGTTTAGCATGATTGGGTCCTCAATAACTAATTCATGTGTTAATCGCAATTTAGGTTCTCCCACAATAATTTATAGAATACTGTTGTAGATGCTGAATTTTAATTAAAACTGTTTTTAGATGCGTAGCTATATAGAACAAGGGACAGAGTATTAAATAGCAATACTTGACAATTCTGTTTCTCTAATGCCATCTGATTACTTGGGCAGAAATTAGGACTTGGAGTTTAACACTACATTTTTCAAAAGTGCCGAGTGCCAGGTGCCCATGCTGGAGACTGAACATGGCTCTGATTTTTGGAAAATGCCCTCTGAAAAATCAGGCCTCTTCAAATTGCCCCAGATTGGGCACCCAAAATCACAAGTGACTCGTGAAAATCTTAGCCTACTGGCCTGCTGCCTTAGCAGAACAGTTGACGGTCATTTGGCCAAATCTGTCTAAAGATTTTTAAAGTTATTTTATTTCATGGTTTTATGCTTGCTTGACACACTACACAAAATTGCTAGGTACTGCCATATTTGAAAAGATGGCACTACGTTACCTTTCTATGTAAGATATCTGTAGAATTGTATATTATACATTTAATATTGTAAAAAAATTTAACGTATAATTGTCATGTATTTGTGTATACACATTTCTGATACACACCTTCATGCCATAAACATTTCTGTAAAGTAAAAGATCAAAACTGCAGCAAGTTGAATGAACACTCACTTTATCTCCCACACTCTTCAAGAGAGGTCAGAAGCTTGGGCTGTATTTCCTCTGACCTTTGACTGAGTTCAGCTTATTGTAGCCATCTCTTCAAAAACAATGTTTATTGGTTCTATAGATTTTAGTTCAACTTCTGTTCAAATTCTCCTTAAAGCATCAGTTTAGCTCCTAACTTTTACCATGTATATTCTGGTTTTGTGTTCATTTCCTGAGCAGGGTGATTCAGAGATAAGTGGAGGCTGAACCCTTATATGTCTGCGCATACTGTTCCATTCATTAACATTCAGCTGGGAGAGGAAAGCTCTTCTGTAGTTACGGTACATTCAGGCTTCAGGAGTATGGGCCAATCCTGCAGTCCTTACTCAGACTAAACTGCTGAAATCAACAGGAATTTTGGCCTTTGTCCAGGGTGGTATCAGTAGGAACTGATATTAAGCACCTCTTCCAAGGGGGTGAGGATTGTCAGCTCCAGTTGAAGTAAAATGGAAGTTGAAGTGCCCCTGTGCTCCTCTCAGGATCAAGCCCATGGATAGAATGCTTTAGATGTATGTAGAGAGCCATTAAGTATTTGTGGTTTTGTTTGTCTGTTTTTTTCAGTTTGGTGTTCACCGTATTTTTATAGCTCAATAAAGCAGCTACAGTACCGACAGCAGTTTGGTAAGGTGGCATCATAAAAGATTCCAGGCTGCTCCAACTGAGTTAAATGTGAACTTGAGATGGAAAGTTTGAGCCATGACATCACAGCATTAACTGCAAAAGGGCACTGGAGCAAGCAAGGCATATGGAAACAATCACTTCGTTTAGAGAAATATGCCTTTTTTTTTTTAAAAGGAAAAGTTAAGCGAGGACATGTTCTTTTAGTTAGCGACTGCAGGTCACTGATTTAATGTTTATTACAGTTTCATTTGTATCTCTTTTACTTTTTTATATCCCTGTATTCTAAAGTAGCAATATCAGCAAAAACTGATGTGAATTTTTACTTCTGTCCTAAACCAGAGTAACACAACTTGATTAAGAACATTGCTCAGTGTCATGTAAAACAGTTTTTAAAATATCATCACGTCTAGTAAAACTGTGGTTTGCAGACAGCGAATGCTTTTCGTTTGAACGCCGAAAAGTAAACATACCTTCTTTTTTAATCTAATTTCACTGAACGTAATTGGTTGGAATCTTTGCTGAGCACTGAAACTGTGGTTTTGAAAACTTCAGTCTTCTCTAGCACTTTTACATGTACTGTTCTGTGCCACTGTGCTCCCAAGTCTGCCAGAAAAGTGAAAGGAAAATGTTATGTTGTGCTTATTGGACAAATCTTTAAGAAAGCAAATGTTGTGTGCATTCATTGACTGTATTTAATAGCATCAAGGTTTGTTGACAGTTTTATTAGATGTTTGACAAAGAATAAGAATCAGCACAACAGAACATTAAATACTCAGTTTAAGTATTTCTTTGTGGGTATTGTTAATATTTTAATGCAAAATGTTTTTGAACAGTGCTTAAAAACTACAAGACAATGTGAAACTGAAATTAATGTTTGATAAATTAATACTGTATGTCACTCAAATGTGTTACTTTAGTAAATTGTTTTATTTCTTTATAAAATAAGTACAAATAAGGAAGTATGTTTTCACACAAATTGGGGTATTTACGAGTATGTACAGAAATAATCAAAATAACATAATTCTAATAAACATAAGGTCTTTATAAACAATATGTACACATTATCAATACATTTAAAACATAATTTTACACTTCCTGGCCTTAAATACGTTATGAATAATCTTTTGGCTAAATAGCAGCAGTATCAATTTTGTTCTGCTTTTAACAAACCTTTAAAATATAATTAAAATTTTTGTTTTTAAAACTATTGGACAGATAGTTCTGTTTGTGCTTTCAGTATTGTTTCCCATCCAAAAAAAAAAAAATACTGCCTCAAAAATGTGGCAAGTACACACATAGTAAAAATTGAAAATGTAAATAAGGAAATGACTCCCTTCCATAGTTACTGAAAATACTGTTATGTCTGAACTATAACTGGTGTCCACTTGCTTACTGAATACTTATCCAAAGCCTATTAAGAAGACTCCCATTGGCTTTGGTAACTTACACTCTAGTCCAGCAAAGCATTTTAAGCACGTGTGTGTATACTTACACCTATTCACATGCTGAAAGTTACATACATTTTCTGGATTGGGGTCTCAAGGTCTGATCATGCAAGGCAAGGTCAACTCCCAGTGACTTCTGTGATGATCCTGAGGACTTAATACTGCTCCCACTGACTCCAATGAGAGCAGGACTGGCCCCTCTATAACACAACTATTTTTGACAGTGACTTTAAAAATCAGTGTAGAATACTCTAAAATCTTTACTCTCTCATTTTTAAAACCACAATTAGACCGTACTCTTCACAATAAATAAAAAGATTTTTTTAAAATAAAAAACCAACTCGGATTCATGTTACTAAGCAGCTGCTACAAATGTGCAAAAGGTTGAGCAGATTTAGAAAACAACTGGAAGCTATTCAAGGTAACTCAGCTGGGACCTGAATGCACAGATTTCATACACTTAGGTATTGGCTCAGGAAATGAGTAGTAAAAGCAAAAATCATGACTATAAAAATTTGTGGGAGTGTAGGATGGCTACTCTTTCAGCTGTGCAAAAAATTGCAATGATAACTAATCTAAAATGGTAATAGGCATCATAGTGGTTAGTCTATGAAAACAGTGCTAGTACAAGTTAAGGGAACACAGAAAAGCTAGCACTGTAATTGAACATACTGCTAATAAAACAAATACCATCCTTCGGGCCCAATCCTACAAACCCTTCTTGCAAGTTGCCCAGTGTCATCAGTGGGATGACTTGTGTAAGCATTTGCAATCAGGCTCTGAATTTGTATAAACTTCCTCTCATCTACTCTGGGTAGCCTCATCTAAAAATGGCCAAATGCCATAAAACTTTAAGCATGGATCATATCCATGGATTTAACCTCTTTAAAAACCTTTTGCACATTTTCATTTCTTTTTTTCATTTTATGTAAGGGGGATTTATTGCATGTGTCTGACAACTTTGCAAAAACAAACTACTGGAACTCTGACATCTGAAAAAAAAAGAAGGCACGTTCAAATTACAGATTTTCAATGCAGGTTGAGCTCCTCTATGAGAAAATCAGTACAATTCTTGGCTTTATTTAAGCAAAGCTCTGTAGAGCAGGAGAGAATGGCTAGTTTCTCTTTCCTGTTCCATGTAAAAGATGAAGTCCCTGAGGTTTACTCGAGTTATTTTCTGTCGTGCATACTGTCTGGATGAAGGAGACCCAAAACCAGCCTGACCTCCACTGGTCATGCCCAAAGCCTGTAAGAGAAATAAAGACCATTAATGTTCTACAGCAGAACAAAGATTCTTTTCACTTTCAGGCTATATGGATTTAACGGATTTTTTTTTTTAGCGTCCTAAATTGGTAACTATGAGCCTAACCCTTACACACGTGAGAAACTTTACGATTGTGAGTAGTCCCACTGAGTTAATGTGAGTAAAGCTACCCACATGCATTCATGTTTATGAGATTGGGCCCTCCCTGTTCATGCAAAACACAAATTCATCTCTAGTTAACTCCATTTAAGTCAATCAAGTTACACAAGAGAAATATTTGGCTCATTAAATGTCAAAAGTCTTTTTCGAAGCTAGCTTAGTAGCAGTACTTCGGTCATTGTAGAAGGCTGGTGTGTAAGTCTGAATCATGTTCCCGGTTCTTTGTACCCAGGACTGGAAGAATGTGCTGGGTGTATATCAACATGTGGCTAGTTTGATTACTCTAATAGCTGAATGGCTGGGCAGTTGAGTCTGAACCAGACTCTGATACTCTCCTCTGGGCTGCACCAACACAGGCCCAAGGTGATAAGAGACTGAAGCAATTTTGCTAGCGGGCACAATCAATCCTCAGCTGGTAGATGGACAAAATTAAACAGGAGAAAAACCTGGCATGAGAGGAAGCCTCCGGCAGTACGAGTAGTGCAGACAAGCATTGGTAAAAACATTTTTGAAGCCAAGTTAAATAGTTTCTGTACCTAACTAGTCCAGGGCTAGCTGGCCCTCTGTGCAGAGATGAGTTTCACTCACTATACCTGCCTCAATTACTGATCTTAAAACCAGAGCACTAAATTATCAAGATCTAAGAACTCAGTCCACAATTTATAGCCCCTTTAGAATGTTATTGGTTCTAGAATGGAAAGCCTGCTACACCGGAACATCGAGGATTTTTCTATTTAGTCCACTGTTGGTTTGTAAAACTTTTCATTGCTTCCAGTTGATTTTTAACGAAGAAAAATATTAACTTCGAAAATAAGGCTTTGAAATATCTAAAATATTTTGAAAATTTTCTAGAATGTTTTTGAAGAGTTCTAGATGGTTTTGAAATCCAAAACTTACCTGGATTCATCCATTCTTCAAAATACTCCCAGGGTGGTTTTTTTTTAAGAAGATAAAAAGTTTAATATTCAAGGATCTTTATTGTAGCACATTATAAAACATTTACCTATATGCAACTTTAGTCTGAAGAATAAGAGGAAAAATACAGTACATTCTGAATGAGTGGCTGATTTCTTCACTGCCTTTCTCTTCACTCACCTTGAGAGAGAGAGACTCACTTTCATGACTATACTGCTCATGAGTTATTTCTCCTCTGTCCAGTTCTTAAACTACTGTGAATGGAGCAAATCCTGTTCCCCAGCTACATGAATACAAAAGGTTCTGAATGTAGTGGAACAAATGTGGACATGCTGTACAGGATGGGGGATGGGCAGTGGAGATGCCCACAACCACAGTTAATTACAGAGCATTACATCTTGGGAGCTCCCTGTGTGGAGTTGTATTTTGAGAATGGGACAATGCAGTCAAAGATTCATCAGCTAAACCTTACCACAAAGAGGGCAATGTTTGTGGCAACTGAAAGGGTTGTTCATCCACACTGAAGCTCGAGGGTCTCTCCAATGGACAGCCTATTTACTCTAGCTGTTCAAGTCACATTTCGCATTCTTAGCAGGGACTAGCATCACGTGAGCATCTATTTTTACAGTATCACGTATGTGACAGCAATATCCACGTGATAAATTGCAGAACCATATGAAGAAGTGCATGCATTATGCACCTTCTGACAGCCTCTAACCTGCACTCTGATCATTCATCTGTTTCTGCCAGGGCCATTGTCATTATTCCAAAACTCCAAAAAGCCAACTTTTTTTCCAATTAACCTGATTCAGACATGTTTTCCTCCTTTCCCCCTCCTACAAATTATGCTGGCTTGAAGTCCAGCACAGTTAATGCTGGACAAGTGACAGACTTATTTGTGAGAAAATGAAACTATTCCAAACTCATGCTGATAATAACTTTATACTATCATAGCATGTCAGTTTAGACACGTATTGCAACTATAAAGTATTAATACAATGAAACGATCTAATTTTCTCAAAAATTTTCTTCATAGAAAGCTTTCTTTACAAAAAAAAAAGCAGACAAATTCTGTTATTTTTTTAATAGTCTGAAAACCACTGTAGCAAATAACTACTGTGTGTTCCCTGGTCAAAGTGGCTGGAATGAAGATAAAATAAATTACACTTGTTACATTTATTTTCTGAAATATTTAATTTTTTGTTGGAAAGATCATATTTTTTATTATAGCTGGCAGAGTAACCTGAAAGCAAGGTTTGTGTTTTCAAAACAGCGCCAATATTGTAAGACATTAAGCTATCCAATGCCATTTTGTGATTTGGTTTTACAATGTGGATTTTTATGAACAATTTTAGACAACAAAAAGTGCATTTAAATCAACAGCACATTAATTTATAACTGTCAATGCAACCCCTAATTTAGAATGACACCAATTTCTGTTTGGTGTTGTACTGTACTTAAAATCATTCTGTAATGCTCCATATGGCAAAAACATACACTATTAATTGCCACAGACTTTTAAAATTATTTGCAAGAATGCAAACACAGGTAAAACTAATTGCCAAGTATAGTAGGATTTAAGTAATGCATATCTGACCACAAACACACCACATTTTTATCAGTGTGATAGATTTTTCATTAACAAGCTCTGTGTTGCCTGTATCCATAGCAACTAATAAAGGAGTCACAAAGATAAAAGCTCTAATAAAAACATAAATGGCTGGAAACTGTTTACATCCCTTATTTCATAGCCTACCACATCCAAGCTATCACAGAATCATACCCATTTCAGTGTATATATCATAACTATTTGTGTAAAGCAATGAACTACTGTTTTTAATGCAAGAGGGACCTTTAGAAGACAGGATTTAAATCAGGAAAATATTTACATTTCAGTTTGTTCTGCCCCTTCATTTAGAAAGGACATACAGAAATTGGCTATGGGCAACTTCATTTCTCTATCCCCTATTCCATTTTCTGTTGTCCAGCCTTGCTGCTCCGTCCCACACTATGGTGGTGGGGCGCTTATATTCACTTTTCAGGTTGCAAATCTCAGAGAATAAGAAGACAGTACAGAGCAGTTGGCTTCTCCTCTGTGAGGCTCCACGCATTTTGTTTGTG